CATCCTGGCATGCCTCCAGAGGACTAAGGGGAAAAAAACCCACCTGGATATACTTTGGGCAACTTCCTTCAGGGGTGTGAAGTGGTCCCGCTAAGGACAAAAGTCATTTAGTTTTGCTTTGAGCACGTGCTGGTATTGCCACTGCTGGCATCTGATTCAAGAGTAACATGTATGGACTTCTCTAAATAGGGTTTTTCAGTAAATTCATTCAATGCCTGAATGAGTTTATAATGAGCCACTGAACTTGGGCCACTAACATTCACATTGAGCAACACACCAACTTTGGTGGAGCCCACACTTTTTCCTTCCAGCAGCAACCTGAGTGTTCATACTCCTGAACAGTTTGTGCCTGGTAAACACAGAACAAATTCTTCTCACTCCCATGCAGAAACCACAACCTTTTAAATGGTTGAAAGAAAAGCAAAAACAAGGCTTCTGAGTGGCCCAAAGAAACCACTCAGGAAATCAGGACATCATGTGAAATGAAGATTCTCCTCTCACAAGTGGCATGTATGGTCTGTAGGTCTGGGATCCTGCAGCTAACATGACTTGGAAATCAGGGCGGCATCCTTGCCTTTGCACACTTCCCACTCACATCACTGGCCAAACCCCACAGTCAGAAGGCTCCAGGCCCAGGCATGAGCCCCTGAACTAAGCTGAGCTTTTTACTGATTATTACCATGAGCTTTGTCAGCAAAGTTTATGAAAAGCTTGTCATTTTGGAGGTGCTATGGAAGATAAATTAAACAGAGTCCAAATAACATCCCCTGCCTTGATCTGCTCCAAATGGCATTTCCAACCCATGTAGGAGACCCTTCACAATGAAGCTCCTCAAATGTTCTGCTTGAGCCTTGGAGAAAGGGAGCAAGGATTCACAATAAAAATGGACTATATTCATCCTCTCCCTTAGTATTCTAAACATGTATTTATTCCACATGCCACAGTAGGAAAAACTCTCTCTACACTATGAGAAATTAACTTTATGAAGATGAAGCATTTTGAATTCAAATGGCTGCCCCAATCTCATCTTTGCCACTGCTAATGAAGATAGTAGCAAGAGCAGACCAAACACTGACTTCTGTGGCATCTGCAGGCATCTCCCCTTACTGGATACTCTGCTTCTATTCCCCTTGTTTACACCCAGGAGTCTGTGTCCAAAGCATGGGACAGCATAAGCAAATGATCAAGCAAATTAGAAGCTGGACCACACACTCCTAACTCAGCCCCATCACTTACCCTTCAATGACTGCACACCATATGATCACGCCCAGATCCAGCTCCACTGGAAATAGACTTTTCAGTTATAAATCCATGCAGTTTCTCCCTCACACACAACATACTCCCTCCTGCAGAGAGTCATTCACATACACACCTACTCTAACACACTACTTCAGACACATCTCTCTATTTGCATGCATGGTTTCCCTGAAGGCTGGGCTTGGAGGGAGAGTGCTGATTTTTATTTTTTTCTCTGACCTGGATTTCTTTGACCTGAAAAATCAAATCGACTTATTTTGTATTTTTCAGAGCTAACATCTTTCCAGTCCCTGAAATCCCATGCTCTGCACAGTTCTCCCATTGCAAAGATGGGGGAAATCAACTCTTGCTTTAACTGAAATCACAGCAACATCAGCTCCCATTCCCAGCTCTGTGACAGGAGCTGGAGGCCCCATGAATAACCCTTGGACTCCAGACCAGGGGTGGGCAAAATACGATCCACAGGCTGGATCCGGCCTGCCAGGCCGTTATATCTGGCCCGTGGGGCACTTCAAAAATGTAGAAAATTAATATTTATATGCCCCTAGCTGCCTGACAGCACACAGGGGCAGTAGGACCCAAAGGAAACCATGGCAGGCTCCTGCAATAGCAAGACCCATCCGGCCCACACCCTAGCCAGAAACCTGTGCCTAGCAGGGGCTTCTGGCCTGGGACTGTGGGGCTGTTTGTGCCTCCCTGTGCCAGAGCTGGAAATTCAGGTAAGAAGGAGGTGGGGGGGCAGGCAGGAAACTGGGGAAAGTGGCATCGGGGACAGGGGGAGCAGAAGCACGCGGGTATGTGGAAGCGTGGGGCCCATGCCGCTGTCCCAGGGCCAGCACCAGTGGGGCCAAGTGGGGCAGCAGAAGCGTGGGGTGCCAGCTGGACAGGGTCCGTGGAGCTGGGCTGGGCTGCACCAGCAGGGAGAGAGGGGAGTTGACCTCACTCCATAGAGGCCCTGCCAGCTGGGACCCCGCACTCCTGCTGCCTGTTCTGGGCACCGCTGGCATTGGGCACTGGCCCCAGGCTCCTGTCCAGCTGCCGCTGGCTGCTGTACACCCGCTCACTCCCAGCTCCGCCTGCCCCAGCCCCACGGTACAGGTAGGGATGACCGCAAGCAGCCCCAACCCCACGCTCGCCTGTCTGGGGAACAAATTGCTGTTCACTGCAGGGGAAAAGTGACCCCTCCCCCTCCCACCACCAATGCTCCCTGCTGCAGCCACTCGCAGCCTGTGCCGAGCTGCCTGTGCCTCGCAGGGGGATGCAGGCAGAGAAATGCACCGGGCAGAGGACAGGGAGGTAGCTCTGCTGCTTACTCCTAGGAAAGGCAGCAGAGCCCATTCTTCTCGGGCAGCTCCAGCGGGGCCTCCCCAGGTAACCCACTGCCTGCGCAGCCCCCTCCCCTGCAGGGTTCTCCAGTGCCCCAACCCAATCCTTGCAAACCACCCCCCCGGTAAAAATTAAATTTAAACATGTAAGTTAAAATCTGTAAATTATACAGTTTGCAGATCTGCAGTATAAAAAGTTTGGGAACTCCTGCCATAGACCCCTTCCAGCCTGCACCCCATGTTCCTACTGCCCCACTCTGGGCCCTGCTGGCACTGGCCCCAGGACATCAGTGCAGGCCCTGCGCTCCTGCACCTCTGCTCACTTCCACTCTGCTCACCCCTGCTTTCCCCACTTTCCTGCCCCCCCGCCGCTCGCTCTGCACCCCATTGCACCCATACCCACAATAACATACCCACACACACACACATCCCCACAAACCCCATAACCACCCACCCACAAATCCCCACAAACCCCACACCCACCCCATGCTCCATCCTCTGACACCAGTGCACACCCCACACAATATACAAGTAAAACTGCATTTTGAGCTGTTATGCAAGCACTTCTACATATACAGCACAAACACACAAATCAGGACAAAAATATATTTTTAAAATTAAATTAAAATATATCATGTATGTTTGATTTTTAGTATATAATTTGTTTTTTTCCCCCTAAGATGGCAAACCCTCTTTCCCAAAGGAGGGTTTCCAGGGGCATGGGGAAGGACTTCTGGTGGCAAAGGTTAGAGGTTAAGGGGGCGGCACTTCTGGTCCCAAATTGGCGACCAGGGGGCAGGGCACCTATCAAGGGGTGGAGCTACCCATGTGGCCCTCGATAGCTTGCCAAAACTCAGTAAGCAGCCCTCCGCCTGAAATAATTGCCCACCCTTTGCTCTAGACCCTCCCCAATATTGAAACAAGCTGAGAACATTCTACTTCCCAGCAGCGTAGGCCAGCCCATATCAGCTCCCCAACATCTTTATCTTCTTCCTTAGCTGTTGTCATTAATAACAAAAATGTTGTTACAGCTTGAAAGACCTTACATGCAACCATCCTGCTGTGTTTCACCTAGCCTGCAGGTACAGAAGACCTGGAACTCCAACCACTTTAGAAAGATGCAGAATAGTGTGTGATGAACAAATAAGAGAGCGACTGACCAAGAAGTGTACTCACCATCATCAGTAGGCTTGGGTCCAAATCTCTCAACTCAACTCCAGCCTGTTTTCTTCCTCTATCGTTCGTCTAGACTCACCTACAGCAAACAAAGAAGAATCCAGTACAGAAATGCAAGGCAGGTGATTATGATACTTCAGGGTGAGCATAGTGTGTGATCAGAAAAGGATTAACATACATGGTACATATAAGAGCACTACAAACTGCATATCTGTGCCCACATCTGTGTGTGTGGCCTCATCCCTGCAGGGTAACCACTTATGCAAGTACTGCCCTCCATCAAGACAAACAGCTTCTTACTGTAGTACCTATTCTGAAAGCCAGACCTGGTACTGCTAGAAATTAACATCCTTTCTCCTTAATATATTTATGGAAGACTTCTGCCCATTGACAAATAGCAAGAGGGCAAGGGCAAGTCTTAATGCGTTCAGTCTTAAGTCTTCTTCTTGAAGAGATTGCTCTGATTTGTGGACAGCTGGCAGGAGGACATGCAGCTGTAGTCAGACAAGTTTATGAGCAGCAGATAAATAAGGTAGAGAAATGTCCCTGGCATAAATATCTTACACAGATACCAAGATTTTCAAGAGTGATGAGAAATTTGGGGTTCCCAATTAGATTAATTATAAAAAAACAACGTTCCAGAAAGTCCTGAGCACCTGACTTTAAAATCCAGGCCATTTAAAAGCCAGGAAAGCTTTCAACTACATAATTTCAGGAATGATACTGTGACATTTACATAGATTTCATAGACATTTGGGCTGGAAAGGACCCCAGAGGATCGAGTCCAGCCCCCTGCCCCAGGAGCAGGAAGTCAGCAGGGATCATAGGATCCCTCCAGCAAGATAAGCATCCAAATGCGTCTTGAAGGCGTTCAAAGTGGGTGCTTGAACCGCCTCCGGCAGCAGTCTATTCCAAACCTTGGGGGCTCGGACAGTGAAGAAGTTCTTTCTTATGTCCAGCCTGAATCGGTCGCAGCAGAGTTTGTGACTGTTTGATCTTGTCATCCCTTGGGGCGCTCTGGTGAACAAACGTTCCCCCAGATCCTGATGAGCATCCCTGATAAGCTTATAGGTGGCCACCAGATCACCCCGAGCCTGCGCTTTTCCAGGCTGAAGAGCCCCACGGCTCTCAGCCTCTCATCAGACCTCTGATCATGCGCATGGCTCTTCTCTGCACTCTCTCAAGCTTCTCCACATCCTTTTTGGATTGTGGAGCCTAAAACTGGATGCAGTACTCCAGCTGCGACCTCACCAAGGCTGAGTACAATGGGAGAACGATGTCCAAAACACCAACACCGAAACACTTCATCTGTGGCTGTCAGATGCCTAGAATGACAAGGAACGGTTTCCAAATCAATGGAAAGAGTTGCTTTGGGTATGAAAAGGATTTTTTCAGTCTTTGGTTTCAGATCAAAGAACTGACCCTAGCATACAAATCTGAGCAGTAGCATCACCTGCTACCTCATATCCGAGAGGATGACTCAGGAGGAAAAGTTCCAAACCGGACAGAGCCTTTGCCCTACAATGAAGTCAAGCAAACAGCTCAGTCCAAAGCTCGAATAATCAGTCCCATGTCTAGAGTGCAGCTAGAGGTGCAAGCTGCTGCCAAATGACCACGAGCAAACAACATATAGCCTGACAGGCATTACATGCAGAAACAGGAGCAAACCAAAAGCAGAGACATCCTGTACAGGGAAGAAAAGAACTGTGTCAGAAGGGAAGATGGACAAAACAGGACTAGAGTGGCCATGACCGTTTCCTGATGCACTATTTCATTTTATTCCTTTACCCATCCCCAGGACCTGGGCAGAGGAAAGGATATAGTCTTAAGTTAATGGCTTGGAGAACATTCCCTGTGAAATTTGGGGGCAGAGGAAAGTGAGGAAAATGTCCCTGATCTGGAAGGTGTTTAAGCATATACTGAACCGTAAGCATGAGCTCAACTACTTTCCTGAATCAGAGCCAAAGTTTGTAGCCAAATGAATGACAAAGCAAAATTGTGTTTGAGTTGGAGGTAGAGACGGTCTCAGTGGCTGCCCTTGACCTTTTTGGTTCAAAGGCATGAGGAGAATCCTTCCTCATATGAATTCACAGGCACACAGAACCACTGCACACCTTAACATTTTAAATAAATGTGAGGCCAAGGGTGAAATGGGAAGAAGAATGGCAGGATACAACACACTGAAGTGCTTTATAAACACACTGGGCGAGGGCTGCCACCCTTACTCACATCTAGTAGTACCTTACTTCATGAGTTCTGTTGCAATAATCAATGGAGCTGCTGACAGAAGGTATCACACAGAGAGGCGACAAGGCTCAGAAGCCAGTCCCAGGGAAATGGTTTGCTCTACCTGAGAAGCAACTCTCAAAATGGCAACAGCTGTTGCTACAGTTACTACCACAGAAACCCTGCTCAATTTTTACAAGTAAAAACACGTATTTTTAACAATCAGCACTGAAAATCCAGGCAGGACCCAAGAGTCAACCTGAGTTCTTTCTGGCTTGTGACTTATTGTTTGGCTATTCTCCTGAGTCCCCAAGAGTATGTCTGTGAAACATTCCTCCTGTTTAAATCGAAAGGATAGTGGCTACAAAAGTGGTTGCTGATCCACACTACAGCTCATCCACCTAGAAACCTTACAAATAGCGTACTGAGCACCCACTGTTTGGTGTTAGCAGGTGTGATGGTAACACATTATAATATTTCCCTCTGCATCCCAAGCAGTGCTTTCAGCAATTTGTTTGCAATGTTCCACCGTTTTCTTTCAGATACAGAACTGATACCATTAGGTAGGACATTTTATCCACATTCTCAGATTATTTATGGTCTATTTGAGTTTTGGTCGGCACCACTCACGCTACCTACTGTAAGAATAAAAAAAACCACCATAAAGTGGACAGGAATGAAAATTGTGAGACCCCAAAGTTGTGTGGACCTGGCTTGTATGATGTATTTATGACTGCAAAATTCAAGCTTTCATGGAAAACAAGTTTCTATTCTTAGGGTTGCAGATAAACATGAACCAAGCATAACCAACTGCACAATGTCTGCCTAAATCTTCAGGCAGCCTGAAACAATGGCTCAGATGAGTGAACTCCCTTCTTCCTAATTGCTAGAACATTTGCTCTGAAGTCTGAACATGCTCCAATGTCAACATTAACTGCTCCATTACTGATTTAGAACAGGTATGAAAGTAAAGCCCTCAGCAGGGTAGGAATTGTGAACTAGTGCAGGAATGAAATGCAGAGAGAAAAACAAAGACGTGCAGAAATGAGAAAAAGGAGTGAAATAAGAAAGGAGGATGAGAAGGGATGAAATAGAGAAAGTGGGAGTAGCAACAACCTAAAGAGGAGTAGGTTCTCCCATAAGCAATAGTGTATGTGATAATAAGGGACTGCATAAATGACAACTCAAGTTCAGTTACTACATCAAAGATGTGTTTATTCTCTCCTTGATTTCTATACCTAATAGCTAAAATAGGATGGTTTGGAAGAATGGTATGTGATTGTATAGAAAGCGTATTGTACTGCACAAGAGGAACTAATTAACATTGTCAATACAAAGTTAACTCTGTCATTCTTCTACTTTTGAGTGCATGACTTCCCTACCTTGATAATGCTCTTTTCATGTATTTTATTGTAATTATGGACAGGGCTGGCAGCATTTCTAAGTAATAATGCTGCCTGACACTCCATATTATAAGACACTTTTTCAGATGATTAATACTTTGCCAAGCATTTACTGTTTAGGACAGAGTTTTCCATGCTGAGTGTCTGCCTCAGGCTGAGTTTTTGCGGGAAGTTTCAGCCAACGCAGTCATTTCTGAAAATGAGGCTGGAGAAAAATGTATAGTTCCAATATTCAAAAAAGGACAAGGGAGGCAACCCAGGAACCTTTTTAAGCCGACATCAATCCCAATTAAAAATAAGGGAACAGTCAATTTAAGATTACCAACAATGAATTAAAAGTTAAAATACATGTAATGCCAGTCATCCTGGCTTCACAGGACCAGGTTTTATCAAAATAACCTTTTTTTCTTTTTAACAAGACTATAATTCTGGGTGAGAAAGGCAACTGCACTGCTTTAATGTAGTTAGATTTCTCCAAGGCATTTTACTTGGTACCATGACAATTCAACAGAAAACTACCGTTAGGGCGTATAGCAGGCAGATTAAAAACTGGCTCATTGACAGACCTCAAAATGTAGCGGTTGATAGGCAGGTAGTTTCCAAAAATCATGGATGTTTATAGAAGAATGCCTCAGGGGCTGCTTCTTGGTCCAATACTATCTAATATTTTTATCAATGAATTTGGTAATAATATCACATTTTTGCTGGTAAACTTTGATGACGACAGTGGTGAGAGTAAGTAATGAGAACTGTTGCTGGGTGATCAGTCAGGGATGAGGTGCTTTCCAACCTTATGAAGCTATGTTATGGTTAGAATGGCTAAAATGCAGTAAAATGTATTCCAATATAGTCCAATGCAGGTTATAACTACAGGATAAGAGAGTCTACCTTGAAAAAGAGCAAGTCAATAAAAGACTTAGGTGTCATCACTGATAACTGCCTCAACATGACAGCCACAGAGATCCAGCAGGA